GGCACAAACAGGCAAAGGTAGATTGTGGGTGTAGGAGATGCTCATAGTGACCAGATTTTAATCACCAGCGGATGCCAATTTATGTTAGGTTGGTGTCGTGATTCATTATCGTTCATTCCAACACTCACTGGTCACCATCCTTCATAAGCAATTTAGGGAATTTCGCTGCTGTCAATCAATAACACCCATGCCAATCAAATTACCCTCTTTTCTCCCAGGTCCCCTCCAGTCTCTGATCACACAGTCAATTGCTTTTGTGATTTGGCACACAGTGACATCCACAGGGGGAGATCTGCCTCTAACAATCATTCACTGCAAAATCTCCATCCACCCCTCCCACCCTGGAATAAGAGTGGGAAATGTCTTCAAGGGGATTGTACATTAAAGCATGAGCACACATGCACGCTTTTGAATTAAAGTGCCAAGTTGAGTATTTGGTTTGGGTTTTGCATCTCTAAAACTTTCAGCTATGCAGTCTGGTGTTATTGTCCTCAAATGATAGAGAAGTGTAAATAGGAATGGTTTACTTTTTCATTTTTACTTGGGCCCCCAGCTGAATGTTAAGTTGCTCTTTAAATATATTTCTAAAAGCATGAGTTTCAAAAAAATATTAGAAATTCCGATTTTTTTAATGTTTATATGAGTATACTTAACTTTTTTGCACAGTTGCACAGTGAAAGTTCTCACACAGTATCCAGAAAATCAATTATTCTGTTCCACCACAAGCTGGGTTTCAAGCAATCTCTAATAACACTGTTACTCACTATATGAATTAACTATGAAAAGGCTGGTGGTGTTGCTGGCTTGGTCCGGCCCCCAAAAGAAAGTTACTGTAAAGACCATCTGGTGGTTAAAAAATGTCATTCAGACCCTGAAGAGGATGAATTAGTCACTGAATATCAGTAATTGTTCCTTTTATAAGATCATGCCAAGTGGTACCAGCTCTGCCTTTGCAGTGCTTAAACTTTAGGGCTTTTCACAGAGCATAAAGATGTGCCTCTTGGATGAATAATGTGTGTCTGACATGAATTTTCCATAAAACATTGGAATGCTTGGTTGCATTAGCTCTAAAAATGACATGACGGCTCCCTGGGCTGATTGAGAAATTCTAAATCTCTGTAAATAGAAAGTTTTTTCATCTCGAAATGTTACCACACCTCTCTTCACTCTCAGGTACAATGCAGACTTCAAGTTTCTTGTTTAGGTTGCTTTTGGGATTAGGACTGAACTCCAGACTAATCCCAAACTAGCTTTTCCCACTTTCATGAGGTGAATTTGAAAACAAGGCTTCTAACGGAAAACTGAACATATTTTTTATTTTCTATTGTGGAAATCAAACATCTAACAGAAGTGACAATATCCAAAACAATTTGCACTTAACACATGCATAAGGACAGTACAAATATACAGTAATGCTAAATCTATTAAAGTAGACACTTTTAGCTACCGGAAAAATCAGCTCAGTGCTTTGCAGATCGGCTTTTTTGTTTATTCAGCATTATCAAATGACTGGCATGGGAACATTGCATGCGTATTTTAACATCCAGCGTGTTATCTTCTTGGAACAGTAACAGAACTGTAATTCTCTTCTCTATGGTTTACCTCATAAATCCCTCCATAAACTGCAGTTGGTTCAAAATACAGCTGCTCGTATTATTTCCAGAACTAGATCCACTGAACATATAACACCTGTTCTTAAACAGCTCCATTGGCTCCCAATTCACCTCCGTGTCAATTTCAAGATCCTGCTTCTCACTTTCGAAGTGCTTCATAACTTTGCTCCTCCATATCTATCCGATCTTCTCCATACATACTCACCCCTTCGTACACTCCGCTCTTCTTCAGCTTCCCTTCTGTCAGTTCCTGGGACTCAGAACCTTTAGTTGTTCTGCCCCGAGACTTTGGAATGCACTTCCACTTTCTCTACGGACCACACACTGTCTCACCACTTTTAAATCACGACTCAAAACCCATCTGTTTAGAATTGCATACACCTGATCTGTCTTAGGCCATTTTTACCTTGCTCAGTTTTTATACTTGCTTTTATACATTTATGACTGTTTATATCTAAATTTTATCTACCATGTTTGCTATATATACATTTTTCTTATGTTTTTATGGTATTGTTTACGTGCTACTGTAAGGTGACCTTGAGGGTCTGAAAGGCGCCTATAAATGTACAAATGTACTATTATTATTATTATTAACAGTAAGCTTACAGGAAATATTTATCTTAAACATCTCAAATGACTTGTCTCAAGACCATCTGCCGACGATATATATATGTGTGTGTATATATTAGGGGTGCAACGATACTCGTATCGATATTGAACCGTTCATACAGTGCTTTCGGTTCGGTAGGCATATGTATCGAACAATACAAAATAAATTTTTAATTTATTTTATCAACTTTCCTTCTGACGATGCTGTCTGTTTTGAGCGCTCAGTGGATCTGCGCTCGACAGTGCAGCCTAGGCGGAGTAGTCGAACGCAGATTCACTGAGCGCAGGGCAAGCTAGCGAGACAGAAGTTAAGCTCTCCTTGCAACATGGCAAATTGAACCTCCCCCACCCTCATTCAGATCTGGCGTTTGGAATTATTTTGGTTTTCATGTGACGTATGACCCTGAAGGTAAGCGCGTCATGGACTAAAGTAAAACAGTATGTTGGATGTGCCACGCAATGCTCAATTACATGGGTGGGAGCTAGTGTGTTAGCGCAGTTAGCTCGTTAACGTGTTGGCCGCGTAGCTCGTTAACGGAGATTTGCCGTGTTGTGGCGTTAACGTCATTTCAACGAGATTAACGCTGACAGCACTAGTGGGAACACAACGAATATGACTGCACATTTACCCGACATCATCCTAGTGCAAAGACAAGTGGAAGCAGACAAAAACAACAAGCACGCATGCTACAAACTTTACCCGAGTCATTTAGACAGCCGTTAGCACATGATTCTCCTTATGGGGACCTGATATGTTTAATATGCTGCTGAGAATATAGCCCAGAAGAAGCGGATAGTATAGCTTTTATTTTGGAAAGAGCCATTTCTCTGTAATAAACTCTCTTTTCCAAAGATGAGTGATTCCTCAATCAGATACAGGGCTCGCAATATCGCTAGCCCGACGTCCCGGGGCTAGCGATTTTTCCAGTCGGGCTACCAAAATCTATCTCTGCCCTGCCCGTCGGGCTATTGTAGGAAGGAAAAATATATGTCAATGCTTTTGCATTCTTTCGGAAATGTAGCTGGGTAATTATGTCATTGGCATCGGTGAGCCACTGTCAATATGTGACATATTGAAATCGCGTTTGAATTTGCGCTTGTTTTTTGCTTTCACTTTGCAATCGCGTGAACTGTGTATAGAGAGCGACAGCACTGATTGGTGAGTGATGATAATTTGCGCACCAATTCCTCTGACATCGTCTTATCAATCGTTAGCTTACTATGCAAACATGACAAGTGAAATCTCCCGCAGCAAGCTTAAACATGTGAGAGGTTGATCGCGCAGAGAATCGCTGAGCGTTATGTGAGTGCATGTGTAAAAGCAGCAGGATATATATTGTAGCGGGTTTGTACAGTTATGTTTTGTTTATGTTGCCATAGTGACGGGTGACGCCCTCTCGCTGCGACGGTGTGTCCTTCCGGGGTCAGAGGGCGCCCTGTGGTGTTGTTGTTGTTGTTGTTGCTGCTGTGCTGTTGCCGCTGAGCAGTTAGCTAGCGGCAGTGTTCTTCTGCAGATGTCAATAAACGGCTGTGCTCCCTGGCTAGCTCACGGGAAGCAAGACCAAACGACACCTCCGTCTCCTCCTTGTCTGAGCTCGCCACAATATTTTAGTTCTGCTGAGCCAAATAAGACAGGTCAGGGTGAAGAAGTGACAGCCAAAGAAAAGCTTACCACAAAACGGAAAAGTTATGACAAATCAGACTATAAGGCAAAAAGAAAGTGCAGCTTTATGGTTTCATGGACAAAAGAATTTCTGTGGCTGCAATATGACAAGCGAAATAACCAGGGCTGCACATAAGTGGTCCGCAGGTGCGCATTCGCTGTCAAAATAAAAAACGGGCACAAGATAAGAAGTTGCAACGCGTGTTTGCATACATAAGATTTTCAGGAGGAGGACAGACATTTGTTTAGAACTCTTAAAGATGTCGAAGAAGCTCCTTTAAGCAATTACTGTGATGTTCCTCCACCTCCAAAGAAATGTCAGAAGGAGTCCGAACCACAAAAGAAGCACGTATTCTCGGAAAAGTAGTTGCAGGAGGTGAGCTGGCTTCAAACAAATGATGAACGCACAGAGATGTGGTGCGGAATGTGCCGTGAAAATTTAATAAATGACAAATTAAAAAGGCATGAATATTTTTTTTTGTATCGAAAAAATATCGAACCGTGACACCAAAGTATCGAACCGAACCGTGAATTTTGTGTATTGTTGCACCCCTAGTATATATATATTAGTTATATATATATATATATAATAATATATATATAATATATAATTATATATATATATATATATATATATGTATATGTATATATGTATATGTGAGATTATATGATGCTACTGATGCCTAAACAGTGCAGCTACTTTACCTTCTCTACATGCCCTAACCTTTTATGTATAGTAATTAGGAAGTCTGACAACATAATATTCAGTGCTGTGAGCATGAAACTACCCACACAAAAATAGATAGTGTATGCACAATTTGAGAGCTTAACGAGTAATGGGACCTCTGAATATCATCAAAAAAGCAGCTAAGCAAAGAAGTATGCTGTATTAACAGAGCACAGAGTTCTTACTGTCTTTGTCTGCTGGCCTGATTCTTGGTTTTCAGAAGTGGACTAAAACATATTGCTAAAAAAACGCATACAAAACCTCTGAAACCAAAAGAGAGTACTGATACAAAGACCTAAACAAGGATTGAATGTTGAGTTTGTGATAAGAAATAAATGCCCCTTTCTCTTTGCTATGCTGGATACTCTCCTCCTGTTAGTCACATGGAGCTCTTAAACCACACTAATGATGAAAGGCCAACCACTGAAATCAGCCTCCGTATTGGGCTTCAAAGCAGAGGGAAGAAACTGTGGGATGATGCCAGGAACCTAAGGTCAGCAGCCTCATTTAAAAAATGGTGTTATGGATAAATTTCGCTTTCTGTATAATTATGTGCAACACAATTGCACCCCCCGCCCCTCGATGAAATCATGAATTTATTTCGTAGTGGGGCAAATAATTAATTAAAGACAAGCAGAATAAATGATATGACCCAGTTACTTTGTCTTTAAATTAATGATTTGACACTCTTAGAAACATGCTTATTTTCTTTTGTGCAGAGAGTTAGAAAAAAAGCTCAGTTTCATTCTCATAACTATGCAAAAATATCAAAGAACTAGCTATTAGCTGACCTGATGGTTGATATAAATCGTAGGGTTGGGGATGTGAAGGTTTTCTGGCTTTTGAAGAGGGCATAGTATCGCTTTCATGCTCTCCCTTTGTTCACCTGCATCATGAAATGGTTCCTTAGACTCATGGGTTAAAATAGGATTGAGCAGGTGGGGGAACACTTAGATCAGGGGCAGCGGTGCAGGGTAAGGAAAAGGATTACCCAGAAATAACTCACATGATGATTTGTTTTGTGAGCTCAGTAGATTTTTCTTTGTGTACAGACTGTGATCAGTTGACTTGTGGTACTTCTACGATATTCACTGCTCTTTGTGGATTTTGTCATGGTCCCCGTGCATCTCTCCTCTGCTGGGGTGGTGTTCATTACAGGCTCCCGCCCTTGGCCCATGCACCTGTGCTCACCGTCACACCTGCAGTTGATTCCAGCGGATTGAAGCACTATTTATGATGGCGGACCTGTGTCATTCTTCGCTGGACTGTTGAGCCATCAGCGTCAGTCTCTCTGAAATCTGCAAATTGGAATCTGCGAGTTTTGTGATTGTTTCTAACTGGTCTTTTTCTGTGTGTGTGTGTATACTGTGAATAAACGCACTGTCTCCTTTGCCAAGGATTTCTGGTCTGCGCCTGAGTCCGTTTCAAACCCTGTGACAGATTTAGCCAATTGAATTCAACAAGATATAGGACTCATTTCCAACCCCTGGATACTATAAAGCTAGTATAAAAGGTAGAATTCAGTGAGTGACTCTAATCAGCATAATCACCTCTAATATAAAGGTGATTAAATGGTTGTTTGTTACCCGTAACCTATAATCAAGTAATCAGTTAGCTGTAACCAGTCCAACATCATGCCTAACTGTAGACTTTATCAAAATACTAAACTGCCTGTTTTTTTTTTTTAGGCAATATTTGAATAACACGAAATTAATATATTTCAATTTATTTTGCAAGATATTTCACAAAAATATAATTCAGCAAAAACATAATTTGTGGATTCAATGTCTTATTTAACAATTCTAAATTAAATAAGGACATTAGTCCACTTTAACCCCTGCTTGACGTGGCCTCTTGGCTTCAGCTGCAATATTTTTCGCGCATCATCTCATTACTGATATATAGTTAAGGATCAGAGGTCCTGTCTCCCAGCTTCTCTTCAGTGTGTGGTGATCCTTAAAATCTTACCAAGGACAGTTATCAGTAAGAGCTCCATGTCTTCCAGTTCTGAAATATAACCAACATCTGGAAATTCTTCAGACTGATTCCCTGAAAACATTCCCTAAATGCTTGAAGACACATTCCCTGTTGGAGTATTCCTCTCAATGGCTCCTCTGTCTGTAAAAACAAGATAAAACATTTTAATTAGTGCTCCCAAAATTATTTTTTGAAGTTCTTTCTTTTCCATAAACTTGCTAAAATCTGTGGCTGTTTCTTTGTACATATGTACCAGGATGTATATAAAAGTATGACTGTATACAAAAGATGGAGAAAGCAACATAACGTCACCATTTGGTTTGTGATGTCAGTTCTGAGCGTTGCCATCTGGATATGAGTGAGGGTTGAGTTTGCTGGGAAACTACAAGACATTGGAATTGGTAGTGACATGTCAGTCACAAGCAGACACACATGCTCTACTCGAACCTACATTTTTACCCTTCTGGGAACAATAATTTACAAAATAAACACCATGCTGTATACAGTAAGACTCGAAACGTGATCGAAAGGATGAATTCATCAGGAAAGTGTTTAATGAGGTCACAGATTAAGAGTGCTTAAGGGTCATTTTCCCATGGCCTTCACCATACTGCAGCTCTGTCTGTAACCGCAGGAGTTACTCCCTGGTCTCTGGAAAGAATGCAAGACTAAAAACACAGCTAGCCTGGCTCGGTCCAGTGGTGACAAAATATGTGTGCTGATACCTCTCATTTCACACTATTGCTTGTGTGCAACAATTAGGGACTTTATCTGGGCTTCATGGGCAGTCGCTGATTGAGGAAGTAACCGAACCTTGGTGAAAGAGACCAGCTCTTAACAATCATTTAAAAAAAGAAAAACAAACCCAAGATGTAAAATCTTAATTAATGGTCACTGCAGTTGAACCTGAGACAGAACCATTGTAGTTGTTTCTCTGTTCCTGGTCCCATCCCTAATGACAAACTAAGCCTCATCTGAGGGCCGCAATCATCTCACTGAATGACAAAGTGGTGACTTTAAGCAAGAAAGTGAACTATTTCTTTAAGAAAGAACAAATTGCACCATAAAGCATAGAAAGATTTATTTACTCATTTTTTTATGTTGAAATAATGAAGATTCATTTACTACACCTCATAAAACATTCTTATGAAGTGAGCCATAATGCTAAATTGTACTTGAACACTGAGCCCCACACTACAGGCACCAGCAAAAGATGATGCAACATGACGCTAAACTATGTAGAAGCCGTAAACAACTCAACTCCACCAAGCTGTCCTAATTATTTCCACATGTTTTCAATGGAAGTATAATGTACACTCCTCAGGCTACTGTACTACTGTATATAGATTAGAAAGGACATGACACTTTCACATCCAAACAGAACATCCTGTCCTCCTTCCTGTGCCAAAAATGACACACAGACACACATGTGGATCCATGCTGTGTCAACAAATATCCTGCCTGTTAACTTCTAAACTTTCTTTCTCTTCTGTTGTTCTTTTAATCAACCGCAAACTCATAAAGCGCATGGCCAGGCTATTCTGAAAATACCTAAGTGGAAAGTTCAAGGCAAGATTGATATTCCACTGATTACTGCGGATCAATAATTATACAGCAGAGCACAGCTAAAAATGACAGACCGTCCAAGAAAATCGATCAGTTTGAATATATCTGGAAACTTGTTTTTTTTTACTGTGTGTGTGTGTGTGAGTGTGCGTCCAGTATCTGTGTGTACAGTTAAGTGTTAGTCATCTGTTTCTCTATTTTAGGCTTGCCTTTGTTTCTCCTTTGGTATGATGTGTGTGCGCGGGTTTGGGTTGCTGAAACGTGTGTGTGCATGTGTACGGGTATGTATCTGTGTTTCAAAATGAACTTTGTGACCTTTCCATAATGGCCCGGCTAAATAAAGATACAGCCTTCTTTCTCCACTCTGCATATCTGGCAACCTTGTGTGGAAGTCTCACAAAACCTGCACAAGTCATCTCTTTTATGGAGGTGTGGACTTTAAGATCATTTCATGAGTTTGTTCATGTATGTTTCAATTAAATGATTCAGTTATGATTCAGATTCTCATTAGAGTTTTGTCAAGGCTTCAATTTTTCTTCAAAGAAACATTCGGGATAGAATTATTACAGCGGAGTCTGATACTGCACATAGTAATAATGTGAAGCCTTTTCTTTGCCTCTCTTTATTTTTCATCTTTACCAACACCAGAAGGCACAAATAAGATGTCAGGGACTGCAACCATGAAAAACATGGAAAAACTGTGTTCACAGGAAAAGTCTTTTTTTTTTTCTTTCTTTCTTTTTTTTTGCAATGTGATACAACTGGACGCTGCACTGCACTTTTTGTTTTTTTATTTTCACATGCTTTTGAATATCTATAAGGAAACACCATAGGGGAAATCTGAATTATTCAAACTTGCACTGATGTTTGTTCACAGCATACATCATCTGCTATCTAAACATCAAACTAGCTCAACAAAAAACACTGAATTAAAGATAGTGTTTATAGAATCATGCTACTAAAATCTGCCAAGCTTTATCTGCAGAAGCAATATATGTTTGTGTTTCAATATGTTGAGTTATTAGATTGAATGTTTTGTCTTTCATATGAAGGTATTTATTCAGATATTGAATCTCTGAAGGATTGTAGTATACTGTATACTGTACTACTGTACTAATAATGTATACTAAAACATCTATAATTGAGTTGATATACATTTATTAGTCCCACAAGGGGAAATTTCATAAGGCTGCCGACCTATTGCACGCAATGGCGGCGCCATCTTACCCTCCGACCATACATACATTACACAAAACATCACATGGGGAAGGCAGGTCAGAGAGGTATAACAATGGAAAATGCACCACATGAGGAAAGATAAGGAGAAAAAAATAACTCCCCCCAGACTGAGCTCCAACAGGGAGATCAGTTTGAGAACAGAAAAAAACACCTCTTCACATAGCACATGAAAAAAACTCTTAATACACCAAAGAAACACATGACAAGCAACAGGGGTGGGTAAAGGGTGCAGCATCGGAAGGGAATAAGCGTCGAAGGCTTTTGGAAAGGGAGGGGGGGTGAGTGTGTGCATATCAGTGTATATATATGTGTGTGCGTGTCCAGAGTTCAGCTGAGACAGTGGCATATATCATATTAATATCCTACACACATAAATAAAAATAAATTATATAACGAGCTATAATACAACAACAACAACAATACTACTACTGCTACTAATAAATACATCTGTAACCCTCATTTCTTGTTTTGGGAGTGTTATTCAGTGTGTTGGTCTGTGCATTAATGGAAGTATCTTCTGTAATACAGAAACAGCAAAACAGAATAGAATTTAATCAAATTAGCTTTAACCTTATTCACACTTTGTTAGATTCCAGTACAGTTCTGATTCTGTTTCAGATGAGTCCATGCTTTTTGATTCCTTTGGCTTGCCTTGAACTCTGCTTTGGTATTAAGGGCAAAGCTATTTGCTGCCTCAGTTCTTATCTCAAGGATAAGACTTTCTGTGTGTCTGTTGCTCAGTTTTTCTCATACCCTGCCCCTGTTTTTTGCAGGATCCCTCAGAGTTATCTGGTTCCACTTGGTAATATTAGTAGGAGATATAACACCTTCCATTTCTACGCTGATGATTTACAGCTATATCTTCTGCTAAAATCTCAGGATTCCCTACAGCTTCTGCTGTAATGTCTTAAATACTAAAGGTTAGATGACTTATCACTTCCTCAAGTCAAACAATGGAAAAATAATTTCTTTGGTCATCTATGATTCCTCCAAATCTTAAAGCCAATTTACCAGAAATGTATGTAATCTCAGTTATGGTCCTGGCAGAGTATTCTTTTTCCTTTTTTTCTGTCTCTCCTTCTTGAGCCCTTTCTCTTTACACCACAGGTGGAGTTGCTGGGCTGGGTCTATCTTGCCAGGTTGCCTCTGGGTAAAGTCTTTCTTTTTCTTTTCACACCTGTTCCATTTTTGTAATCAAGCTCCTGTTTTTGCAACGGTTCTCCGCTAGATTGTCCTTGTCATTATGGTGGCAATCAGGCCGTCCTTGCTACCTGCTAGTTTTTGCCTTTTGTGATTTAACCATGTATCCATCTCCATCCTAGTTCTTTGCTTGGAGCCCAACCACAAAATGCTTCAGTCTGTTTCTCCTATTTCCAGCCAAGGAAAGTGATTGCAGTGAGGACAAAGCATGCTCCACTGCAGACCTAGTAGTCCAACATTAGGGTGGTGTCATTAATTATAACATGCCTCAGTTGCAGGTATCTAAAGAATTCCACATTGTGAAGGCCAAAACATTGCTGAAGCTGCTGAAAGGAAAGAAGGGTCCGACCTCTAAACAGATCACCCAAGTTAACCAGCCCCAAATTAGACCAGACCAAAAAAACCTGGTCCAGACAT